TTTTTTTCTGGTTTTTCGAGACAGGGTTTCTCTGTGGCTTTGGAGCCTGTCCTGGAACTAGCTCTGTAGACCAGGTTGGTCTCGAACTCACAGAGATCCGCCTGCCTCTGCCTCCCAAGTGCTGGGATTAAAGGCGTGCGCCACCATTGCCCGGCGATCCAGTCCCTTTTTAAATACTTGGAAACACAGATTTTGGGTGGGGATTAGGTAGGAATGAGTACTGACCTAGAAGATGTCCACCAGTAACAGGTTTGAGGTGGAAGAAAGGAGCCTTTGAAACTGAAAGCTGGGAGAAGGAGGGACCATCAGCTGCTGGAGATGTCTGCTGTATAAAGTTCAGCTTTTCATTTCTCTTCTCTTGTTCATCAGAGGAACTGAGGAGAGTTTTGTTTCTGATAAATGTGTCTGAGATGCAGTGTGTTCTTGGTGTAGCTAGCTTTTTGTGAAAGAGAAGACAAGAGCATGAGAGAGATGAACCCTATGTACGCTTTTACAGGTGACTGTGTGGACAGGGAATGCACAGAATGTTTCTGTGATTCCTAGTCAGTTTTCTGTGAGCCTAAAACTGTCCTAAAAACAAGTCTTAAAAATGCGAAGCAAGCCAGGCATAATGGTGCATAACTTTAATCCTGGCACTCTGGAGGCAGAGGCAAGAGGATCTCTGTGAGTTCCAGGCCAGCCAAGGCTACATAGCGAAACATGTCTCAGGGGGGAAAAAAATGAAAGAAAACAGTCAGAATCTTTTGTATGAGAAATTAAGTTTTTATATTCAAGCATTGGAATACTCAGATGTGTCCTCACGACTATGTTTTATGATTAACTTGGAAGTTTTTTTCTGATCCTGTAGGTGTTCCAGAAGCCCTTAGGGTTGGTGACACCCCATAGATACTGCAGATTCCACTTCAATACATTGCGTGGCTGTGAGCGAGCACAGTGCAAGTTTGTCCATGTGCCTGAGCAGGGAGACGAAAAGGTGAAGCTTTATGTGAATTGTGTGTGTGAGTCTACAGAGTCTTGCTCTGTTTCTCAGGCTGATCTCCAATTCCTGCTGCCTCAGTCTCCCACATAACCCTGACTAAAAGTGCGTACCATAGCGCCTGGCTTGCCCACTCTGGCTCAGTATTTTTGACATCTAGTTGTTAGCGTTTCTTTCTCCTTACTGTGTAATAGTTAGTATTCTGTCGTACAAGTTTATCAAAATTAACTTCATCAGTGAACATTAAGGTTGGTGGACATTTGCCTTGTTTGCCTGTTTGGATAACACAGCAGTGACTCTCGGCACTTTTTCCGTGTCTCCTGGTGAGCGTGTTCTTACCGGCCCCAGGACTGCATGTGGAACACGTTCTGGAGTGGCTCTCCCAGGTCGCACTCAGCGGTGTCAGGGAGTTCTGGTTGATCCACTCCTGCCAGTTCTTGGTGCCATCACAGTCATGGTGGCCTAGCCAGCTTTGGTGGTACACGCCTAAAATTCCAGAACTTGGGAGGTGGAGGCAGAAGGACCAGTTGAGTATACTTTCAAGCCTGTGAATTAACACAAACAGCAATTTTTATTATAAACTCTAAGCTCATAACTTTTTGTTTTCTTGTAAAACATATAAAGGTGATTTAATATTTTATGCCTTTTTTTAGGTCTGCATGGATGTGTTTAAGAAATACATAAATCTCAATGAGAAGTGTTTGCTACAGCGAGCAGGTATGGAATAACTGAATGATAATTACAAATTCCTGTGAGTGGCTTCACACATGTGCTGTTGTATCTCCAAGTGTTAAAATTAATTCAGAAAGGTAAATGTGCTTGCTGTAAAGCCTGTCAGCCTGAGTTTGATCCCTGTATCTGCCTCAGTGTGGAAAGATAGAGCCAAGTCCTCAGAGTTGTCCTCTGCCCCCCACACTCGCCCCCACATGTGCATCATGCACAGACACATTTTTTAATTAAAAAATAAACTTAAAATTTATTTTCAGACTAAGTATGAAAGCTGAGTCCTCCCTCGTCCCTTTTCCACCTTCCCCTCATTGCCAGGGCAGCATCCTATCAAGTTTGTGCCGCTCCGTCTAATGCCAGCCCATGCCGCGCCTCACGGCTGCTGGCACCGTGCTGGATTATGAACCCTGAGAGGATAAGAGCCGAGTTTATATAGTAACAGCATTACACTCCGCATTCATCAGCTTCCATCTCTTTCCTCTGGAGACATCCAGGGTGAGTCAGAGGCAGTAGGACCCTATTTGGGAATGCACTTGTGATGCAGGGGCTGTGACAGCCAAGGAGAAATTAGATGAGATGAAGTGTAGGTGAGTTTCCAAGTTTTAGAGCCCATTCTCAGGCCTGTGAAAAAAAGGTACCTGGATGGAAACCGTGGGAAACTCCCCATACGTGAGACCGTATAAGCATCAGTGGCCACGAGAAAAGCATCTTAGTTAGTTTGGGGTGTGTCTGTTTCTCTCTCTCTCTCTCTCTGTATCTGTATCTGTATCTGTATCTGTATCTATCTGTGTGTGTTGCAATGGACCAGAGTTGGGTTCCCAGCACTCACGCTGGGCGGTGATAACTGCCTGTAACTCCAGCTCCGGGCAATCCAGTGCCCTCTTGTGGCCTCCTCAGGTATTTCTCTCATATGCACAAACCCACACAGGCACACGCATGACCTTTAATCCCAGCACTCGGGAGGCAGAGGCAGGCCTCTGCATGTTTGAGGCCAGCCTGGTCTACAGAACACGTTCCAGGACAGCCAGGGCTACAGAGATACATAAACCTGCTGACCATTAACTTTTCAGTTTCACTGAACTTTTCATTATCTATTGTAACACCCGGTTTTGGTGTTACACCCTCGGTACAGTTCGCACGCAACTGTACCAAACGCGAGTCCGAGTCCAGGCAAGGACCTGGAGATTAAACAAAAGAGACAGAGACCAGGGTCATTCCATTGGAGATCAAGCAAATGCCGTTTATTCAGACTTGGGGGAGTCCTTATCTACCTGACTGCAGCACAAAGATCTCTCCATCCAGGCAGGTGGGAAATGACCATATTAACAATGGAGAAGATTCCCTGCAGCTAACCACCAGGCGGGGCAGGGATAGCACACACAGGAAGCTTAGTTAACAGATTATAAACTGTCCCCGCCAATGCACCCCAGGAATAAGGGAGACCAGGGCCCTACAATCTATGTCTTTCCCAAGCAATGTTGGGTAATTCAGACAGTAAATGAATATTTGTGGTTGAAATAACACAAAACTAAAAGTGATTTTTGCTAAGGCAATTTTAGCTAAAAATGCGCATATTTGGACTAGGAAATTTTGGAATGGATAAGATGATCTCAGCTAATTTTAGTAAAATAATGGAAAAAGTGAAAATAGGTAAGTATTGTACAGAAAGTAAAATAAGGAATTGGATGTTACTTTATTAAAGGAGGTTTATTAGTCTACAATGATAAACTGAAATAAAAAACATTCCAGGTCAATATGCTGGTGAAGTTAAGGCTGTAAGAACAAGTACTGTGTCTCAGAGTCCTCACCATCACCAAGTTACTGTGCATCTCCAGGCCATGCACAGGTCTCAGCCCTGTGGGAGCGAGGCCCTGAGGATGAGGGGTCAGGACCACCATGGCCATCACACTGCAGACTGAGCATGCTTGGCTTCTGATGTCGCTGCCATTTTGATGTTTTGCTTTCATTTTCATCAGTTATTTCTTACATTTCTGGTCCCTTCCAAGGAATGAGTTTATATAATATCTTTACAGGAGGTCCATCTGCATTCAGCAGTATGGCTGCCTTAAGATCCACAATGACTTTTTTTCTGCTTCCAGCGCACATATTTCTGGAGTACTACAGAAAGTTTCCCCCAGGGATCCACTTCAGTTTACAAGTGCTGAATGACCTTCTGATTTCTTTGCTCGAGCATCACTTACTGAAAGAGGTCTTTGAGGTAGTGAAGCTGAGCATCATGGCTAAAATGCTGGTGAGTGCCCTGAGACGCTCGAGCAACACCCTGCTGGTCTCCCCATTGTGGGTGTCAAGTTAGCACTTAGATTTCTGCCCAAAGAACACATTTTTCAGTGTAAATGAATTTGAGAAGTTTAAGGCCTTTGAAGGACATGAGAGTAAGTGCCGTTCTTGTTTCTTTTATTCAGCCTGCTCTGAAAATATTACTAAAAATATTTGAGTTTGTGGCAGCCATGAAGTTAAGGAATGCTGTGCCTACTGTAATTGAGATTTTGTGCAAGGTATGACTTTATTTTTTTCTTCAAGGTATGACTTTAATCTCTTTTATTCTCTGATGGGGAATAACAAAAAGAGACTGTTTCCACATAATGATTTATCTGTCTTTTATTCATGTTCTACTTGGTAAAGAATTCATAAATGTTGTCTTTTTCTCCTGAAATAGTTCAGAAGCATCCTACAGTCAGTGACTTCCCCTTAAACAAATTCTCTAAGTATTCAGATGCTTTCTTACTGTAAATTATGTTTTTCCCTACTCCTTAATTATAGCTAAAAGAATTCTTTCTCAGAACTATTTAAGGTCAATAACAACAAAAACAAGTCAGTGTATAAATAGAAAATTGTTACAAAAATAAGGTAGTTAGGAATTGGTTTTAAAATTTGGCGTTAAACAAAATGAGGAGCAAGAAATTTTTTAAAGGATTTTATTATATATACAGTGGTCTGCCTGCATGTACACGTGCAGGCCAGAAGAGGGCACCAGATCTCATAGATGGTTGTGAGCCACCATGTGGTTGCTGGGACTTGAACTGAGGACCTCTGGAAGAGCAGTCAGTGCTCTTAATCTTTGAGCCATCTCTCCAGCCCAGAACAAGAGTTTTTTAATGCTATCCAAAAACACACTTAAAGTGTGTGTGTGTGTGTGTGTGTGCTCATGTGGGGAATGGAGGTCGGCATCACTCTGTGTGTGTGTGTGTGTGTGTGTGTGTGTGTGTGCGCGCGAGCTAATGTGGGGACTGGAGGTCAGCATCACTGTGTGTGTGTGCTCATGTGGGGGCTGGAGGTCAGCATCACTGTGTGTGCTCACGTGGGGGCTAGAGGTCAGCATCACTGTGTGTGTGTGCTCACGTGGGGGCTGGAGGTCAGCATCACTGTGTGTGCTCACGTGGGGACTGGAGGTCGGCATCACTGTGTGTGCTCACGTGGGGACTGGAGGTCAGCATCACTGTATGTATGTGTGTGTGCTCACTTGGGGACTGGAGGTCGGCATCACTGTGTGTGTGTGCTCACTTGGGGACTGGAGGTCAGCATCACTATGTGTATGTGTGTGCTCACTTGGGGACTGGAGGTCGGCATCACTGTGTGTGTGTGCTCACTTGGGGACTGGAGGTCGGCATCACTGTGTGTATGTGCTCACGTGGGGGCTGGAGGTCATCATCACTTTCCACTTTATTTTGTGAGACAAGGTCTCACACACACTGGGACCTGGGCTCTCTGGTTTAGGCCAGGCTGCCTACACATCAAGACTGCAGGAGCCTTGTCTCGAGCAGACCTCCCTCACTGGGACTGCAGGCATAGGCTGCTGTGCCCAGCTCTTGGCACCGGAGTGCAAACTGAGGTCCTCATGTTTGTGTAGCAAGCTCTTTACCAGTTGAGATTTATTTTTCAACCCAAAAGTTTAACTTTTGTGGATGCTTCAGAATACCTGATTCCCCCGCCAGCACTGGATGAAAGCGGTGTAGCGGCACGTGCCAGAATCCAGCCCTCCACGTGGTGGAGGCAGGGGAATCAGTAATAGTGAGTGTGAGGCGAGCCTGGGCAACATGAGTCTCAACAGCAGCACTGCAGGGAACCAGAGACTAGCAAGGCAGTGATTGGGGTTGCCGTGGGGTCTGCAGAGGTTGCTGGTTCCATAGTTAGTTTGGAACCATTGTTCCTAAAAGTTGTTCAGTGCAGTATCAGCATCCCTGGGAAGACATCCAGCGACATCTTCAGGGTCCAGCGATGGCTGTATCCTATCTCCTTAGATGTCTGCTCCTGATTCTAGCAGTACCCCATCCAGTTAACCTACAGACCACAGAGAAAACAGAAAATTCAGTTTATTTTATGTTCATAAATGGATTTTTAACATAGTTTTTCTAAAAATAATTTATATTTACACTGGTATTTGGGCACTTTTTAAGGATAGATTTTTTTTTTCTTTTTTGAGATAGAGTTTCATCATATAGCTCTGACTGCCTTGAACTCACTGCGTAGACCAGGGTGGTCTCAAACTCAGAGAACTGCCTCCCTCCCAAGTCCCGGGACTAAAGACGTGAGCCACCACGTCCAGTTTAAGGGTAGGTTTTAAGAAAACCAGTTACCAGGTAGCAAATTTGTTCTTTCACAGGTTTGATTTATTGTTGGCTCTGTCATTTGATCAAACATCCCAGCATGGAAGGAAATGCAGAGACCAACAGGTTTGTTACAGAGAACAGGAAACCCTCACGGGTGCTTTCTGGCATAAAGTTGAGTGGTTGAGGGAGGAGCTGTTTTCCTTGTGAGAATAAAAATGACAGAAATAGTTCAAGGACTTGAGTTTGTAACAGGCAGGAATTAGTTATTCATAGTTTTTCATCAGAACGGTTTCCAGTTTGTTTAATCAGAAGGCTTAGAAAGGAGTTTCTAGGACCTAACTCAGAATCCATCATCAAATTTAAGGCAGTTTTCCTACAAGTCAAAGATAGGAGATCCCCTTTGATTTTTTTTTTTTTTACTGTTCCCTTTACTAAAGGAAATGCTGTCCAACTTCAGCTTTAAGTTCTTAATGACCAGATGGCACCTAGCATCAAAATACAGCTTCTCCGCTCTCCCTGCTATTCTGTTATCCCATCCATCTTAGTTAGGGTTTTACTGCTGTGATTAGACACCTAGGAGGAAGGCCCAACCACAGGCCTTCAGGAGGGGACATCCGGGCGGGAACTGGAGCAGAAGCCATGGAAGAATTGCTGGTTGACTTGTTCCCCATGACTTACTCAGCCTGCTTTCTTATACAGTCCAGGGCCACCTGCCCAGGAGTGGCACCATCCACAATAGGCTGACCCTGCCCACATTAATCACTAAATAAGAAAATGCCACGGGGCTGGAGGGATGGCTCAGTGGTTAAGAGCACTGACTGTTCTCCTAGAGGACCTGGGTTCAGTTCCCAGCCCCAGCATGACAGCTCACACCTGTTTTTAACTCCAGCTCCAGGGCTTCTGACAGCCTCGCTGTAGACACACCTGTCGGCAAAACACCAATGCATATAGAAAGTTTTTTTAAAAAATAAAAAAACATAAAAAGAAAGAAAATGCCCCTCAAGCTTGCCTGGAAGACCAGTGTTCTGGAGGTGTCTTCTCGGTTGTAGTTCCCTCTTCTGAGAAGTCTAGTTAACAAAACAACAAACAAATAAGACCAGGACACCACCCCAGTTTTTAATTCCTATTACTCCTTTCAGGAGACTGAGGACAGGGCTCAATAGGTAGCAAGCATGAGGGCCCAAATTCAGATCCCCAGAGTGAACCTTCAAGAGCTGGATGCAGTACTGAATCTGTAAGCCTGTCACTGTTGAAATGGGAGCAGACAGGCTGGGGTGTACACAGATAAAACAAGGTAGGACACGGATTTTACAGTCAAAAGTTGTCTGCTAGACCTGGCGGTTGGTGGCGCATGCCTTTAATCCCAGCACTCGGGAGGCAGAGGCAGAAGGATCTCTGAGTTCGAGGCCAGCCTGGTCTACAGACAGAGTTCCAGGTCAGGCTCCAAAGCTACACAGAGAAACTCTGTCTTGAAAAACCAAAAAAAAAAAAAAAAGTATGCTGAGAACACGCAGCCATGGTCATACAACCACACACACTTCATACACATGCACCACACACAAAAAAAAGGACAAAAATATAAACATCTCAATGTTCAAGTAATTTCTCAATAGGAGAGTATAACCGCAGTAGACTTTCAGGAAGAACTAGTGCTCCGGTCCCGGGGGAGCACTCATGGTCTCGTCACAGGGCCGTTAACAGAAGTTACCACCATCAGGGACGATAACTGCGGGAGGCTTATCTCCATCCGTCCATCCTCACACTAGAAACATTGGCTACTTCCTCAGCACTCCGCATTCAAGATGAGGAACGTGAAAGGGACAGGAAATGAGACATGAGAATTAAATATATGTCCATGTGTGCACGGTCAAGGTTACCTCGGTTGTTACCTGGTTACAGGAAATGAGACATGAGAATTAAATATATGTCCATGTGTGCACGGTCAAGGTTACCTCGGTTGTTACCTGGTTACAGGAAATGAGGCATGTTAGAATTAAATATATGTCCATGTGTGCACGGTCAAGGTTACCTCGGTTGTTACCTGGTTAGATGTAGACCAGTTCGTCCATGGCAAGGGCCAAGTTGAAGCCCAGGACAAACGTCTCAGAATTTACCATCAGAGATGAGGCGTTCGTACCAGATGGACAGTGGGACAGACGGTGCCAGAGAAGAGTCACACAGCACAGTAATCTGGGGGAGTGGGAAGAAAAAATGTCATTCCCGTGTTTTCAATTCCTAAGGCACCTTTCTGTGGTTCTCAAACTCCTGAAGAAATTATGCTTCAAACTTTGCTAATAAGTTTTGACTCCCCTGCCCCATGTTTTGCTCTTTCTGTCTCTGTCTGAGTTATTTCTCGCACATGACTTCTCAGTTATTTCACGTTTTTTACGAGAACGGTTGCTGTTTTTTTCTTCTGCAGTTCATTGAAGGTGGGATGGTACCTGACTCGAAACACTTGAACTATATTGTCAAGCTGTTGTACCAAACACAGGCATCCCCACAAGAAATAGCTGCAGTTCTGGAAGCCAAATCCAGGTAAGATGGGAGACTTCTTAGGTTTGTCTGTCTTGGTGGGGACCCAGAGAGGTGAAAGCAGAGCACTTTTCAACACTGCTATCTCGGGGTGAGTTTGTCACCTGTCATAGGCCCCTTCCTGTCTCCGTCCACAGATGACCTTAGCCTGCCTCTACTTGGCTCCTCAGTTTAATCTTAGTGCTCACTAAAGGCAAAGGAGCCTCCCTTAGCTCAGGCTTTACTGCCTGTTTGATTGCGCTTCGTACACTTCACTGTGCATGCAGATTTCCTTCCTTTTCTCGCTGGCTCACTTCCTATTAGCCTGGTGCTCTCTTTCCTTCCTCGTTCACTATGCCTCCTGCTCAGCTTAGGAGACCCCAACCGTTTATGTAGTCTCTGACTGAGTATCCTGCCGTAGGACTGGGGTCCCAACTTGGGAGAGCACTTGCCTGGCATGTACAGGTCCTAGGTTCCATCTCTAGCAAACAGGAAGTACTGCAATATACCTACATTGAAAGGGAAAGCAAATTTTGTTGGGGTTGGAGAGAGAGTAAAATACTTGTCATATGAGTGTGAAGTCTTGTGTTCAGTCTCTAGCATCCACACAAAAGCTGGTCATAGATAACTTTAATCCTAGTGCTGGGGCAGTCTGGAGTCAGCTAGACAAACAGCCTTGCTTACTTAGTCAGTTCTAGGTTTACTGAGAGACATTAGCTCAAAAAATAAGGTGGGTGGTGCTGAGCTCTTGCTTGTCCTCAGGAACTTGAACATGACTGGGGTCTGAAGAAAAGACAGACAGACACAGAAAGAAATACGTTAGATCAGTGGTCTGGGCTCTTGCTAGGGAAACCACAGCACACCAGAAGCTCAGCATATTGACTATATAGCATTCTTGTATACAGGGGAACAAGAGGTCGGGTATTACATACAGTTAACACGGAGGCGTGGTTTACGGTGTACTGCTGGATCAGGAGGCAGTTGCTATAAGGAGCGTTCTTCAGGTGTAAACTTCCAAGGGGAGAAAGCTATGGTGGACATTTTCTGCATATACTACCAACACCCACACATGGACCAGAAAGAAGGCTTTGCCATTTCTCTCTGAGCATTGACCTGAGGAAAAGGCCTTGCCATTCCTCTATGGGTCTGAGGTTCTGGGCTTCCTCTACTCCCTGTAGGACAGAACCTGAGGAGTGTCTCCCACAGTTGTTTCTTTAAAAGAAAAAGGCATAGACACAAATTGTAAATATCAGAAATGAGATAAGTGCAGATCCTCCCACCACTGAAAAGGTTGCTGTGAATATCCGTGGTGTATGAACTCAGCAATGAAGATGAAATTGACTGATTTCTAGATCTAAATAGTTGAATAAATTACAAGAAAAATGTAGTCCACAATTTTAAAACTTCTAAAAAAGGCATCCCAAGGGCCAGATAGCTTTCCTTGAGAAGTATGCTCATTATACTCATTTTTAAAAGAGGAGGCTGAGGGAATTTACACATAATTCCAGAAAATAGGGAGAGAATAATATTTATTGGCCTATATTTTTTCTTTTTGTGATTTATATGTTTTTGTTTGCATCCAGGTGGCCTCACTATATAGCCAGCGCTAGACTTGAATTCGTAATCCTCCTGCCTCTATCTCCCAGTTGGTGGATGTGCCACCATGCTCAGTTTATCAAGATTTTTTGAGGCAGGTATTATCCATATACAAAAAATAAAGTGGGCCATCATGGTGAAACATACCTTTAATGACATCACTCGGGAAGCAGAGGCTGGTGGATCTCCATGAGTTTGAGGCCAGTCTGACTTGTATAATGAGTTTCAGAACAGCCAAAGCTACATAGTGAGACCCTGTCTCAAAAAATAAAAATTAAAAACCACAGTGGCTCCAAGAAATCAAAAGCTGCCAGGTGTGGTGTCCCAATACCTATACCCTGGCACTTGGGAATCAGAGGCAGGAGGATCAGAAATTCAAACCAATATAGATAGCATCGTTTATATAGCAAGTTTGAGGTCAGCCTGGGTTACATGAGACCCTGTCTTCAAAAGACAGAGAAACAGACTGTTGATCTGAAACAGTTCTTCCAAAGGACCCAGGTGGATTCCCAGCACCCACACAGCACCTCACAGCCATCTGTAACCAAGTTCTAAGGGATCTGATTCCCTCTCTGGCCTCCAGTGATGTCAGACATGCACATGTACCTTACATGTAGGCAAAACATAAAAACACATAAAAATTTTAGACCAGTACCTTTCATGAGATTGAATGTAAAAACCCTTGACACACTAGGAGTAAAGACAAATCCTTTAACTTGGTAAAGAGAGTTGTAACAAACCAGCAGACACACTTGAATAAGACTGAAAACAAGGCAGAACTCTGCCCACACTTCCGTCAAGATCATTTGCCCACACCCTCTAGCCAGGGCGATAAGAAGTGAAAATAAAAGGTGTACAGATTGGAAGTAAAATAATAACCTGTACTTCTAAGTGACATGGACACAAGCCTGTGTGACAAAGAACCTCCCAAAAACAGTTCCGATGACTAAAGACCAGCCCACAGATCAGCCATCCTCCTGCATAACAGCACTGAACGTAGGGACCAAAATCCAATACTACAGAACATACTCGATTTGTATACTGGAAGCCATGGAATGTCGAAAGAAATTAAGTAAAAAAAATATTTTTATGAATGAGAGACTCCAAGACAATTCTCCTTAAGTCCATTTATTGGTTAAATTCAGTTCTAAGCTGTGATATTTTTAGATAGAAAAAACTAATTCATTCTAGCTAGACATGGTGACGCATGTCTGTACTACCAGTAGGCTGATATTACTTAGATACTGTATGGCTTAGAGGGCTGAAGCCACCTCAGGAGCTGGGACCAGCAGGTTGGCCCAGCAGCTAAAGGCTTGCCGCCAAGTTCAGTACCCAGAACGCACAACAGAAGGGAAAGCTGACTGTTGGCAAGTTGTCTTCTGACCGCCATGTGTGCTGTGGCATGGGCGTGCCCACATACAAATTATACCCACAGGCATAAGCGTACAAAATAAATCAATAAATGGATTTTGTTGTTGTTGTTTGTGGGGTTTTCTTGGGGTTTTTTGGGTTTTATGTTTTTGTTTTTCCAAGACAGGGTTTCTCTCTGTAGTCATGGCTGTCCTGGAATTTGCTTTCTGTGCCAGGCTGTCCTTGAAATCTGCCAGGCTGGCCTTGAAATCTGCCTGCCTCTGCTTCCCAAGCACTGGGGTTAAAGACACATTCCACCACTACCCAGCAAATGGCGGGTTTTTTTTTTTTTTTTGAAGAATTCACCTGTCAATTTTTTTTTTTATTTTCGAGACAGGGTTTCTCCGTAGCTTTTTTGGTTCCTGTCCTGGAACTAGCTCTTGTAGACCAGGCTGGCCTCGAACTCACAGAGATCCGCCTGCCTCTGCTTCCCAAGTGCTGGGATTAATGGCGTGCGCCACCACCACCCGGCTTCTGTCAATGATTTTTAAGGTATCTTCTGTGCATTGGGTTTTCTCAGGTCTTATGTATGTTTAAGGTCTGGAACAGACAGAAGCGTTGGTCACTAGGGATGGAATAAGCATAACCAACTCTCTTCTTCATTGAAGGTTACAAGTGAGGCAGCTGACAAAGAACTGGAAGTGTGACTTAGTCTCAGCCTTGAGTGAAGTGGAGGTATGATATTTATCTTCAGAGACATTGCTGGGCTCTAAAGCCAGGAACAAAATGTTTGAATGATTAGGAAATGCTTCATCATGTTAGAGAAAATGCTACGAGAGAAGTCTAGTAGTTATAATTTTAAAGATTACTATTTTGATGGGCTGGAGATATGGCTCAGTGGTTAAGAGCATTGCCTGCTCTTCCAAAGGTCCTGAGTTCAATTCCCAGCAACCACATGGTGGCTCACAACCATCTGTAAAGAGGTCTGGCGCCCTCTTCTGGCCAGCAGTCATGCACACAGGCAGAATATTGTGTATAAAATAAATAAATAAATAAATAAATATTTTAAAAAAAAGATTACTATTTTGAAAAGCAGACATCTGATTTCTAGGGCTGTGGGCTGAAGATGCAGCTGGGCAGGAGATCATTTGCCTGTGTGTACAGGGCCCTGAGTCCCTCCCCATACACACACAGTAAATAGGGTTGTGAACTAATTTAAATTAATTGTGATGGTAACTTCCATTGCAAAGTTGACTTGTATCAGTCTGAAGCGTAGTCTGTCATCTAGTGCTGGGCAGATGCGTAGCTGTAGTGCAGTGTGGGTGATTGTGGTCTGAGCTGATGAGAACTAGGCTCTCTTCTGGCCTCCAGGGGCACCAGCATGCATGTGTGCATACCCACACAGAGTTGTGTACATATACATATAATTAAAAATGAAATAGAGTAACAAAGGAGGCCTTAAAGATGGCCCTCTCATTGTTGACACAGTCTTGGTCAGCATGATGTAGGAGAGTGAGTTTACTGAAATTTCCTTTGTGAGCCCCAAATTTTAAATGGCCAAGTAATGGTAAAAATGTGCTCCCTCTAGAGGCAGTAAAGGAAGCAATGGGTTGCTACAGAGATGCTGGTGCACCTTGATGACTGTGGTTCTGATGCGGTTCTGTCCTGTTGAGTCCTGGAGCATTTGAGCCACTGAATAGTTATAGCATGTTCAGTGCTGCCTGCAGTTCAGACTCTGCTGCAGGGAGAGCAGAGAACTTGGGTGTCAGTTTTCAGTTTCCAGACTGAGTCACACAGATTTCTGTATGCCTACAGGTGCCTATCTGAGAGCATGTGCTTACAGAGATGATACAGTTTTTACTTTTTCCCTTCTTCCTCTTACTCTCCCTCTTTTCCTCCCTCCCTTCCTCCCTCCCTTCCTATCATTTTTAATAATTTCAATAGACTTGTAAAGAAAAAGGTGACTGGACCAAATTGGGAAACCTGTACATTAGCATAAAAATGGGCTGTGAAGAATTTGCAGATTTCCAGCGATTCTGTACTTGTATTGCTGAAGCGCTCACAAGAGAGTATGAAGAAGAAAGGCCAGGTGTTCCTTTTTGTGAATTTGCTGAAACAGGTAAAATGTCACTTTTGTTTGGAGGACTGCGTGATTCTTAACTGGAGGGTAATGCTGTCCTCAGGCAGAGGCTTAGTGTGCTGCGTGTCCCAGACAGTCTGAAATCTGTAGATTTTCCCATCTACCTGTTACTGTGCATCATAATCACAAGGGGAAGAGCTGGTTTTAGTATCAAAGATTTCATAAAACCTTAATGTATTTTTATTTAGGTTAATAAAATTATTGCAAATGATATGGGAGCACCCAATTTTTTTTTTTCAAGACAGGGTTTCTCTGTGGTTTTGGAGCCTGTCCTGGAACTAGCTCTTGTAGACCAGGCTGGTCTCGAACTCACAGAGATCCTCCTGCCTCTGCCTCCCGAGTGCTGGGATTAAAGGTGTGCGCCACCACCACCCGGCTCACCCAAATTTTTGATACCACTGATGTTTCTATTATCTACAAATCAAAAAATACTGTATGGCATTTAAAAATACATCTGTGCGCTCTGCCCTGCCTCCCAAGTGCTAGGGTTACAGAAGTAAGCAACCACACGTGACTTGAGATGTTGTTGGTGCTGCTACCGTGGACTCTATCAGGATGACAAAATAACTATCCTAGGCTGTACATACAACCCATACAGTTTCAATTTTTAAAAAATTCTTTCAAAATAAATTCACTATTGGGCTAGATGTGTTGGCACACACCTTTAATTTCAGCACTCAGGAAGCAGACATAAGAGGATCTCTGTTGACTTCAGTGCTAGCCTAGTCTACGTATTGAGTTTCAGGACAGTTAGGGCTCTGTAGACTCTGTCTCAAAAGACGAAACAATAATAACAAAATCCCTCTATTATCTTTAGGGCTAGATTTAGCTTGTGGGACAGTTTGCCAGCACTAGGTCTTTGAAGTGATTTCAGAATTCTGAGTCATTTTAAGTGACTGTCTCATTTCTTTCGATGTCTGCTTTATGTTTCAGTTAGCAAAGATCCACAGTTCAGTGAGGTGGATAAGACTTTGCTGGGAAGGATCGGGATAAGTGCTGTGTACTTCTATCACAGACTGCTGCTGTGGTCCAAGGTATTTTGTTGGTTTTGTTTGGTGCAGAGAATCTTGAAGATTAGGAATAGAATCCTTCATCAGAAATTTTCTAAGAATCACTTCAGGCACAAGAGAATGGAACCTAGACTACTTACTAAATTTCTAGTTTCCACATTTGTTTCCAAATGCTGAAAGGGGGTGATGGAACACCAACTGCTTTTTTGAAATATAATTATAGACAGTACATCGGAGACTGTGCTAGAACATATTTATTTAAAAGTTTGCAATTCATAATTTACTTTGATGACTCCATAGTTGTCTTCATAATCTTGAGGGAGCTCAAAGAATTCTTTTCTATTTACTTATTTATTCATTCATTCATTCATTTATTCACTTATTGAGACATAGTCTACCTCTGTGGTTCTGACTGTCCTGGAATTTGGTATGTAGACCAGGCGAGTCTTGAACTCAGAGATTTTCCTGCCTCTGCCTTCTGAGGGCTGGGGAAAAGGCATGTGCCCACATGCTCAACCTTAAAACAACCTTTCTGAAGATGAACCCAAGATGCTCATGATCATTAAAACTTACAAATCGCTCCCTTGAATACTCTGAGACGTCCTGTGCCACCCACGTCTAACTTTGTTAATTAAGTCCAATAAGCAGGTGGTCTGATGACTCAAGATCATGCTGTTCTGTATTATTTCACTTATTTATGCCTGTGTGCATGTGTGTGCATTGATGTGTACATATATGTATATTATGGCATGCATTTGCAATCAGAGGACAGCTTACAGAAATTGGTTCTCCTCCTTCCATCATGTAATCCGAGAGATTGAACTCAGGTCCTCGGACTTGTGGGCAGAGCCTTACGCACAGAGCGATCTCACCAGCCCTCAGAACTGCACTGTATTTACACACTTTAGATTTGCCTGAAGTGATAAATTGTAGACTCACTGAAATACAAATGGAGATCATGAAAATCCAATGTTAAGGGAAGAACCGGGGATGGAATTAACAAAAAAACAGCAATTAAGTATGATCACTGTCAACTTAACTGTTAAAGCTTACCTTTTGTTACTCTGGTCATTTCAGAATTAAATGTCTGTGCAATAACATTTAAGTAAGGTTCACTTGTATGTAGACGACATTCATGGACTAAAATGAAATTTTGCACCTAGGCTGGTTGAACAGAAAGTCTGTAGATTTCCAGATTAATGCTCACTATGTGGCAGGATGGGTCCCTCTCTGCTGCAGAGTCTGCTGGGAGGTGTGGACATGATGAGTGCCTGCACACTGGAGCAGAAGTCTCTTTTACAAGTGCAGGTTTAGCTAAAACTTTAGACTATTCTGATATTTGGTTATTATAGCTTAGGTCCTTAAGACCTTGTCTCTCTTTGACAGTGTGTAGATTTAGCTAAAACTTTAGACTGTTCTGATTTATTTGGTTATTATATCTTAGGTCCTTAAACCTTGGTGAATATTTCTATGTTTTTTATTGATTTTTATTGAGCTCTACATTTTTCTCTGCTTCACTCCCTGCCTCTCCCCTCCTACCTTCACCCTCTCCCAAGGTCCCCATGTTCCCAATTTACTCAGGAGATCTTGTCTGTTTCCACTTCCCATGTAGATTAGATTTGTGTACCTTAGGGTCCTCATTGTTGTCAAGGTTCTCTGGAATTGTGATTTGTGGGCTGGTTTTCTTAACTTTATGATTAAAAACCACAATTGTCTTTTGGATCTGGGTTACCTCACTCAAAATAATGTTTTCTAGTTCCATCAATTTGCCTGCAAAATTCAAGATGTCGTTATATTTTTTCGACTGTGTAGTACTCCATTGTATAAATGTACCACATTTTCCTTATCCATTCTTTGGTCAAGGGGCATTTAGGTTGTTTCCAGGTTCTGGCTTTAACAAACAATGCTGCTATGAACATGGTTGAGCACATGTCCTTGTGACACGATTGAACATCCTTTGGATATATACCCAAAAGTGGTATTACTGGGTCTTGAGGAAGGTTGTTTCCTAATTTTCTGAGAAAACGCCACACTGACATCCAAAGGAGCTGTATCATCTTGCATTCCCACCAGCAATGCAGAAGTGTTCCCTTTTCCCCACAACCTCTCCAGGATAAGTTGTCATCGGTGTTTTTGATCTTGGCCATCCTTACAGGTGTAAGATGGCATCTCAGAGTTGTTTTGATTTGCATTTCTCTGATGACTAAGGATGCTGAGCATTTCCTTAAGTATCATTCAGCCATTTAGATTCCTCTGTTGAGAGTTCTCTGTTTAGGTCTATACTCCATTTTTTAAAATTGGATTATGTGTTCTTTTGATGACCAATTTCTTGAGTTCTTTGTATATTTTGGAAATCAACCCTCTGTCTGATGTAGGGTTAGTGAAGACCTTTTCCCATTCTGTAGGCTGTTGTTCTGTCTTGTTGACCATGTCATTTGCTTTACAGAAGCTTTTCAGTTTCAGGAGGTCCCATTTATTAATTGTTTCTCTCAGTGTCTGTGCTGCTGGGGATATATTTGCGAAGTGGTCTCCTGTGCCAATGTGTTCAAGTGTACTTCCAACTTTCCCTTCTGTATGGTTCAGTGTGGCTGGCTTTATGTTGAAGTCTTTGATCCATTTGGACTTGAGTTTTGTGCGTGGTGATAGATATGAGTCTATTTTCATTCTTCCACATGTTGATATCCAGTTATGCCAAAATATGCTTTCTTTTTTCCATTTGATAATTTTTGCTTCTTTGTCAAAAATCAGGTGTTCAAAGGTATATGGATTAATATTTGGTCTTTAATTTGGTTCCTTTGGTCTTCCTGTCAGTTTTTATGCCAATACCAGGCTGTTTTCAGTACTATAGCTCTGCAGTAGAGTTTGAAGTCAGAGATTGTGATGCCTCCAGAAGTTCTTTTTATTGTACAGGATTGTGATGTAGGTGGCTCTTCTTTCTATGTGTTGCTTTCATTGGTTAATTAATAAAGAAACTGCATGGACTGATAGGTCAGAACTTAGGTAGGCAGAGTAAACAGAACAGAAGGCTGGGAAGAAAGGAAGTGAGTCAGTCGCCATGATTCTCTGACCCTAAATGGACACAGGTTAGGATCTTTCCCAGTAAGCCACCACCTCATGGTGCTACACAGATTACTAAATATGGGTTAAAGCAAGATGTGAGAATTAGCCAATAAGAGGCTGGAACTAATGGGCCAGGCATTGTTTAAATGAATACAGTTTCCGTGTAATTATTTCAGGTAAAGCTAGCTAGGCTACCAGGAGGCAGGTGGGATGAAAAGCAGGCCTGCTCACCTGATCACTATAGGATTGTTTTGGCTATCTTGGGTTTTTTGCTTTTCCATATGAAGTTGAGTACCGTTCTTTTGAGGTCTGTGAGAATTTTGATGGGCATTGCATTGAATCTAGATTGTTGGTAAGATTGCCATTTTTACTGTTAATTCTGTCTACCCAAGAGCATGGGAGATCTTTCCACTTTCTGGTGTCTTCTTCAATTACTTTCTTCAAAGACTTAAAGTTCTTGTCATACAAGTCTTCCACTTGTTTGGTCAGAGTTACTCCGAGATATTTTATGCTATTCGTGGCTATTGTGAAGGGTGATGTTTCTCTGATTTCTTTCTCGGCCCATTTATCATCTGTGTACAGGAAGGCTACTGATTTTTTTTTTTTAGTTAATCTTGTATCCTGCTACATTACTGAAAGTGTTTGTGTTGTAAAAGTTCCTTGGTAGAATTTTTAGGGTTGCTTATGTAAAGTATCATATCATCAGCAAATAGTGAGAGTTTGACTTCTCCTTTTCTGATTTGTATTCCCTTGATCTCCTTTTGGTGTCTTAGTGCTCTAGCTAGGACCTCAAGAATATATTGAACAGATATGAAAAGAGTGGACAAACTTGTCTTGTTCCTGTATTCAATGGATCACTGGGAGTTTCTCTCCATTTAGTTTGATGTTCACTGTTGGCTTGCTGTATATTGCCTTTATTATGTTTAGGTATGTTCCTTGTATCCCTGTTCTCTCCAAGACCTTTATCATGAAGGAATGTTGTATTTTGTGAAAAACTTTTTCAGCATGTAATGAGATGATCGTGAGGTTTTTATTTTTCAGTTTGTTTATATGGTGGATTACATTGACAGATTTTCATATGTTGAACCATCCCTGCATCCCTGGGATGAAACTAACTTTAACTTGACCATGGTGGATGATGGTTCTTATGTGTTCTTGGATTTGATTTGCCAGTATTTTATTGAGTATTTTTGCATCAATGTTCATGAGTGAGATTGGTCTGTAATTCTCTTTCTTAGTAATGTCTTTCTGTGGTTTTAATATCAGGGTAATTGTAGCCTCATAAGAAGAGTTTGGCATTGTTCCTTCTGTTTCTATTGTGTGGAATAATTTGAGGAGCATTAGTATTAGTTCTTCTTTGAAAGTCTTGTAGAATTCTGAGATGAAACCATCTGGTCTTGGCCTCTTTTTGTTTGGGAAACTTTTGATGACTGTTTCTATTTCTTCAGCATTTATAGGTCTTTTAATTTGCTTATCAGTGGTGCCCAACGTGGGCCTTGATTTAATTTTGGTAAGTGATATTTATCCAGATAGTTGTCCATTTCCTTTAAGTTTCCAATTTTGACAGATTCAACGCAATACCCATCAAAATCCCAGCAAAATTCTTCACAGACCTCGAGAGAACAGTACTCAACTTCTTATGGAAAACAAAAACTCAGGATAGCCAAAACAATACTGTACAACAAAGAACTTCTAGAGGCATCACAATCCCTGACTTCAGACTCTACTACAGAGCTACAGTACTGAAAACAGCCTGGTTTTGGCATAAAAACAGAAAGGAAGACCAATGGAACTAAATAGAAGACCCAGATATCTATCTACACATCTTCGAACACCTGATGTTTGACAAAGAAGCAAAAATTATAAAATGGAAAAAAGAAAGCATATTTAACAAGTGGTGTTGGCATAACTGGATATCAACAAGTAGAAGAATGAAAATAGATCCATATCTATCACCATGCACAAAACTCAAGTCCAAATGGATCAAAGACTTCAACATAAAACCAGCCACACTGAACCTTATAGAAGAAAAAGTGGGAAATATACTTGAACACATTGGCACAGGAGACAACTTCCTAAATATAACCCCAGCAGCACAGACACTGAGAGAAACAATTAATAAATGGGACCTCCTGAAACTGAAAAGCTTCTGTAAAGCAAATGACATGGTCAACAAGACAGAACAACAGCCTACAGAATGGGAAAAGGTCTTCACTAACCCTACATCAGACAGAGGAAATATACAAAGAACTCAAGAAATTGGTCATCAAATGACCAAGTAATCCAATAAAAAAATGGAATACAGACCTAAACAGAGAACTCTCAACAGAGGAATCTAAAATGGCTGAATGATACTTAAGGAAATGTTCAACATCCTTAGTCATCAGAGAAATGCAAATCAAAACAACTCTGAGATGGTGGCACACGCCTTTAATCCCAGCACTCGGGAGGCAGAGGCAGGCTGATCTCTGTGAGTTTGAGACCAGCCTGGTCTACAGAGCTAATTCCAGGACAGGCTCCAAAGTCACAGAGAAACCCTGTCTCGAAAAACCAAAAAAAAAAAAAAAAACAACTCTGAGATTCCATCTTATACCTGTAGGAATGGCCAAGATCAAGAACACCTGGTGCTATGGAGTCTAAAAGAGGACACCAGATCCTTGGAACTGGAGTTATAGGTGATTATGAGTCAACATGTAGGTGCTGGGAACTGAACAGGTCTTCTGTAAGAGCAGCCAGTGCTCTCAACCTCTAAGCCATCTCTCCAGCTGTTTGTTTTTATTTGTTTGTTTTTACATTTTTAAAGAGCTGTGAATGAAAACAATAGCCAAAAGAATTTCAGCCACCAAATGCAGCCTTCAAAGACTAAAGTATTTACTGTTCGGGCACTAAAGAGATAGTTCAGTGGTTGAGAACAGTGGCTCTTGCAGAAGACCCAAGTTCAGTGCCTAGCATCCAAATCGGGTAGGTCACTACTTCCTGTGACTCCAGCTACAGGGGTCCTGACACCTCTCCTGGCTTCCTCAGACATCTGTACACAAAGATAACTTAAAATGAAGTGAGTCTTTTTTAAAGTATTTATTGGCTGGTAATGGTGGTGTACACCTTTAATCCCAGCAGGCAGGCGGATCTCTGTGAGTTCAAGGCCAGCCTGGTCTACAGAGTTTCAGGACATCTAGAATTTTACACAAAGAAACCCTGTCTTGGGGGGGCAGGGGAGTATTTCTTGTTGAGCTGCTGAGAAGGAAAGTAGACTGGCTCCTTGTTTAAGATAATAACGCACACCCAAATTCTTATGTCTAAATCAGAGACAGTCTTCATGTAGAATCTGTCATATAATTCATTTACTGAAATAAAAAAATAACTTTCCAGCTAACAATTTTGGCTTCTCGTCACTAGCATTCCATCTAATTTGGTGACAAATTATCTTCATTTTCACCTACTCTCTTAGATTTCAGATTGGTAAACAGTAAAAGAAGTAAAATATAATAATTTTTCATAGTAACAAATGGAACCCTTGGCCAAACAATGAAATTTTTGTTTTGTTTTGTTTTTGTTGAAATGGCATCTTGCTATAAAACCCAAACTAGCCTTAAAATATTTCTTGCCTCAACTTCCTAAATGCTGGGATTATATGCATGAGTCACGTGCCCAGGTCCACAATCCTAAGGAAGACACTTAGTGCATATAATCAGTAGAAGGAGAAGGTGCGTGCTTGTTCAGGGAGGAGATGCTTCTTTCTGCCTTTGTGACCAAACAGGAAAAGTTTAGGCAAATGTTCATTGCAATTGGACAGCTGTCAATCTAGCATAATACTTGACTTGGTAACTGTCTTCTGTGTATCGGCACTGCCTTCCTGTCCCTCGGATACTGTAAGTCAATGATACTGAGTGTTGTTAATTTTCATTCCAGGGAAGGAAGGTCTTAGATACACTGTATGAGCTAAAAATACATTTTACAAGTTTAAAAGGACTCACAGGACCTGAGAAAGTAGCACCACGATGTCAAATTGTGAATGTTGCAGTGGAAATTTTTATCAAAAGTGGGAGCCTAGATGGTGCCATTTGGGTACTAAGGGGTAAGTTCTGATATATGAATGCATAATGAGCACTTACTCTTTGTAAACATTTTCTGTGTAATTACCTTAAGTTGATACCAAACTAGAGGTGATAGCTTGGTCTGAACTTCAGTGAATATGTGGAGAGGAAGAGTCACTATGGTACAAAGTGATAGAAGAAAGTGGCTTTTACTCAGCCTTGGTTGAAAAAAGTTTGTTCTTGATGTAACCTAGTTGTCTTAGAAGCCCTGAGTCCTGAAATTATTACAGTTCCATCTATAGATTAAAAAATATAATCAGATATGTTAATCATTTGAACTAGAACATACCGAATTAAACCCAGCTAGTGAGTGCAGCTTCAGAAGGCAGGTCCAGCCACTGTGGGAAATCATGACCGTGGCTTCACAGTCCCTGTGGTGAAGGGTTGTTTTCACAGTGTGTCTGTGTTTCCTTTGGGAGAGTCGGAATGGATAATCAGCACACCAGTGTGGCCTTGTGACAGAATGGATGTGCTTAATCGCCACAATTTGCTCTGCACCATTGCACATGAGATCCTGGGCAAGAACCTTTACAGACAGACCTTTGAGGTTTTGCGAAATCTACCAGGCTTTCAGAATTCTCAAGGTATGTTTTTTAAAGTCTACTTTTATTATCTCAAAGATTTATTTATGTTTATTTTATGTGTGAGTGCCTACATATATATGTGTATCACATACATGTCTGGTGCCTACAAAGGCTGGAAGAGTGCATTGGATCTGCCAGAACTTAGGTCACAGTCAGTTTGTGAGCAGCATGATGTGGTGCTGGAAGCTGAACCCAGGTCCTCTTAACTGCTGAGCCATCTCTCCAGCACAACCTTCATTGTTTGCCAGTCTGGTGCTTAGCAGCTAGTAAGGAGCTGTTGACTTACAGAAGAGTTTCATAATAGCCTGGAATGGAGTATAACAAAGGTTTATTTATTTGGGGATACACTCACAGAAAGAGTAACAATCTACAGTCCTCTGTGTGCACTGGAAACTGGAACAGAATCCAGCAGCCAAGAGGGCTGCACACACTTTGTCTGCATCTAAAGTACATAAGACCATGCCCAAAATGAGCCGGTATCTTAAAGGCTATTGGCTAAAGGAGTTCCACAGCACCTCCCCCTTTTGTCTAAATAAGAGAGTTCTAAGCCTAATACAAAACTATATGTGAGAAGAACAAATATCAAGTATTATCTAGGGAAAAGAAGAGGCAAAAACATGTATAAAATTTAGAATTATAAACAGCATCAAACAAGAAACATATGTTAAATGTTTCAATAGTTATACTATCCTAAGAAGTCTAAGTCTTATATTAAAAATGGCTTGGCTGGGCTGGAGAGATGGCTCAGAGGTTAAGAGCACTGCCTGCTCTTCCAAAGGTCCTGATTCCCAGCAACCACATGATGGCTCACAACCATCTGTAATGGGGTCTGGTGCCCTCTTCTGGCCTGCAGGCATAGACACAGACAGAATTTGTATACAAAATAAATAAATAAATAAATAAATTAAAAAATGGCTTGGCTAAGTCATGAGAGGAAAGTAACTATGACTATCTAGTCATCAAAGACCTAAGAAGGGAAATAATACTTGAGTGAATGGCAACTTCCAAAAGGTGAAGAAATGACAGAGACAGCTGACTAGCTGGGCAATCACCCAAAATCTTATTGGCAACCTTGAGGCAATCAACTTTGGCTAAGGTTTAGAGTATCTGACAGACCATTTTCAGAGGCAGGAAAATTTGCAAAACCATCTTACCCTGTCTTGGCAAAGTTTGGCAGTCTTTTGTCTTGTATCCTGCTTGTCCAGTCTGGACACCAGGCATTTTGTCAGTGGTCGAGGCAGGGGCAGTTCTTTGCCCAAAGACCAGTTTTACCAAGAAGAAAACAAGCTCCAAGTGAAGTGTCTTTGGTGCTCAACATTCTCTTGGGAATGGATTGGTGCTGCGAGGAGCAATTGTGTCTCACTTCAGCAATTGTGTCTCACTTCAACAGAATCCTGAGTTATTTGTATTGGTATTAGTTCTTTGAAAGTCTTACGGAATTCTGAGCTGAAACCATCTTGTCCTTGTCCTGGGCTTTTTTTTTTTTTTTTTTTTGGAAACTTTTGATGATTGTTTCTATTTCTTCGGCAGTTATAGGTCTGTTTAATTTGCTTATCTGGCCTTGATTTTGCTGTTTTCTTTGATCAGCGCGTTTCTCTATGGTGTCCTCAGAATCTGAGGTTCTTTCTTCTATTTCTTGTATTCTATTGATTACGCTTGTTTCTGTAGGCTCTGCTCGTTGATCTGGATTTTCCATATCCAGCTGGTGCTCAGTTTGTGTTTTCTTCCTTGCTTCCATTTCAGTTTTCAATTCTTGAATTGTTTCCATTACCTGTTTGTTCATTTTTTCTTGGTTTCCCAGGGTCTCATGTACGTATTTACTCAATTCTCCAAACTTTTTGTTATACTTCTCATCCATTTCTATAAGGGTGTTTTTTACATGTTGTTTAAGGGACTCTATTGCTTTCATAAAGTCAATTTTTTCCACTTCTTCTGTGTTAGGGTGTTCAAGTCCTTCTGTTGTAAGATCATTGGGTTCTGGTGTTTTCATGTTGTTTTTCGGATTGTTGGGTGAATTCTTGCCTTGGCGCCTGCCCATCTCCTCCTATCGAAGCTATCTAATGGGTCTTTTAGAACCGGGTTAGGTTTCCCTGTTGGCCAGGGGCTCCTCCTACAAAATGCTGTCACTCTGTTTCCTGGCTCCTGCCAGGGGCCCAGTTCCCTCTCGCCCCTCAGAAGGGTCTTCAGGAACAGGACTCTGGCCTTGATTTAATTTTGGTAAGTGTTATTTATCCTGAAAGTTCTTCATTTCCTTTAAGTTTTCCAATTTTGTGGAGTACAGGTTTTTGAAATATGACCTGATGCTTCTCTGTATTTCCTCTGTGTCTGTTGTCATGTCCCCCCTTTCATTTCTGACTTTGTTAATTTTGATATTCTCTCTCTGCATTTTGGTTAGTTTGGATAAAGGTTTGTTTATTTTGTTGATTTTTCTCAAAGAACCGACTCTTTGTCTCTTTGATTCTTTGTATTGTTTTCTTTGTTTCTATTTTGTTGGTTTCAGCTCTCAAATTCATTGTTTCCAGCCTTCTAGTTCTCTTGGGTGAGTTTGCTTCTTTTTGTTCTAAAGTTTTCAAATGTTCTGTTAATCTCTAGTGTGGATTTTTCCAGCTTCTTTATGTAGGCATTTAGTGCTATGAACTTTCCTCTTAACACTGCTTTCATTGTGTCCCATAAATTTGGGTATGTTATGTGGTCATTTCATTGAATTTTAGGAAGTCTTTAATTTCTCCCTTTATTTCTTCTTTGACCCATTGATGATTCAGGTGAGCACTGTTTAATTTCCGTGTTTGTGGGCTTTCTGGAATTCGTATTGCTGTTGAATTCTAGTTTTAAGCCATGGCAATCTGATAAGGTACATGGAGTTAATCCAGGTTTTTTTATTTGTTGCGGTTTGTTTTGTCACCGAGCATGTGGTCAATTTTTGAGAAGGTTCCATGAGATGCTGAGAAGAAGGTATATTCTTTTCTGTTTGGATGGAATATTCTATAGATGTCTGTTAGGTCCATTTGAGTCATAACATCTGTTAGTTCCCTTATTTCTCTGTTCATTTTTTGTCTGACTGACCTGTTCAGCGGTGAGAGTTGAGTGTTGAAGTCTCCCACTATTAGTGTGTGGGGTTTAATGCATGATTTAATCTTTAGAAGTGTTTCTTTTACATATAAAGGTGCCCTTGTACTTGGGGCATAGATGTTCAGTATTGAGATTTCCTCTTGATGGATTTTTCCTGTGACTAATATAAAATATCCTCCTTTGTCTCTTTTGATTGATTTTAGTTTCAAGTCTATTTTGTTAGATATTAGGATAGCTACATCAGCTTGTTTCTTAGGTCCATTTGATTGGTATTTTTCCCAACCCTTTACTCTGAGACTATGTCTGTCTTTGAGGTTGAGATATGTTTCTTGTATGCAGAAGGATGGATTCTGTTTTCATATCCAAATTGTTAGCCTGTGTCTTTTTATAGGTGAGTTGAGGCCATTTACATTAAGGGATATTAATGACCAATGATTGCTATCTCCTGTTAATTTAGTTTTCTTTGTTGGTGATGTTAATCTGTGCGTTTTCCCCTTCTTTGGGATTTGCTGCTATGAGACCATCAATTGTCTGTGTTTTTGTTGATGTAGCCAACTTCCTTGGGTTGGAGTTGTCCTTCTAGTATTTTTTGTAGGGCTGCGTTTGTGGCTAGGTATTGATTCAATCTGGTTTTATCATGGAATATCTTGTTTTGTCCTTCTATGGTGATTGAAAGCTTCGCTGGGTATAGTAGTCTGGGCTGATATCTATGGTCTCTTAATGTTACCTGACCAGGACCTTCTGGCTTTCATTGTCTCCAATGGAAAGTCAGGTATAATTCTCTTAGGTCTACCTTTATATGTTATTTGGCCTTTTTCCTTTGCAGCTCTTACTATTCTTTCTTTACTCTGTATGTTTAGTGTTTTGATCATTATGTGGCAAGGGGACTTTTTTTATCCAGTCTGTTTGGTGTTCTGTAAGCTTCTTGTATCTTCATAAGTATATCTTTCTTTAGTTTGGGAAAGTTTTCTTCTATGATTTTGTTAAACATATTTTCTGTGCTTTTTAGTTAAACTTCTTCTATACCTATTATTCTTAGGTTTGGTCTTTTCATGGTGTCTTATATTTCTTGGTTTTTTTTGGTTAAGCTTTTGCTAGATTTAATGTTTCTTTAACTGATGAGTCTATTTCCTCTATTGTATCTTCAGAGCTTGAGATTCTGTCTTCCATCTCTTGTATTCTGCTGTTAATGCTTATGTTTGTGGTTCCTAATTATTTTCTCATGATTTCTGTTTCTATAATTCCCTCAGCTTGTGTTTGCTTTATTGTCTCTATTTCAGTTTTCAAGTCTTGATTAGTTTCTTTCATATGTCTGACTTTTTTTGTTTTTTTTAAGGGATTTGCTGATATCTTCCAATATTTGTTTGTCTTTTCCTCCATTTCTTTGAGGGAATTTCTCATTTCCTCTTTAAGAATTTCAGACATTCTCCTGAAGTTATTTTTTAAGTCATTTTCTTCTGCTTCATCTATATTTGGTTGTTCAAGTCTTGCTGTTGTAGGGTCTTTAGGTTTTAGTGGTGTTGTGTTGTTTTTTGTGGTGTTGAGTGTATTCTCACCATTTCTATTGATCTTTTCTTCTAATACGTGTGGTTTGGGCTGTCTGTGATTCTGTTGATTAATCTTCTGGGTGCCAGTGAATCCAAAGCTCAGATGGTTGTTCCTCATGGCACGGTCAGCACCATTGTTCTAGTCCCCCTTTGTCACTCCGTGTTCCTGGAGGGCAGTCAGCGTTCCCAGCCTTTCCTCCACTCCCTTGGAGTTTGCTGTCTCAGGCCTGCTCTAGCCTAGGTTGTCAGCTCAGACCTGCTTCTATAAATGTCCCTGGTCTGGATTCGTTCCTTCAGAGGTCCCTAGTTTGGGGTTGGTCCTGATCTACTCTCTCACAGGTTCCAGGCTCAGGTGGGCCCAGACCCGCAGAGGGCCTGGCTCAG